TTATCCTAAATCTTCATTTGAAAACTGTCGTTGCGTGAGAGGAGAAATTGCGACTACTTCGAATAACTGGAAATTAATGTCTTGTAAAATTGATGCAATGAAGAAAATATTTAGTGTTGCGTTAATTTAATATTCATGATACAAAAACAGGAGAAGCTGAACATTTCTCATTGTGAAATGGTTTTGGAACTTCAAAAATGATATTTTTAATTAATTAAATAAAAATATTCAAATTATTTAGTTGATCACTTGCTTCTAATCTATTGATCATTTATCAACAATATAAGAACAGGTAAAAGAGAATTGTTCAAATCACTATGTATTTTTTCGATAAAAGTTTCATCGAGAAATACGATAAAGAAATGTCAGTTACTCAGACTATTGTTACATACATTTTGGAACACTACTGTGGTATAAAGGTCTTAAAAGGTGTAAGGTCTTCTTTTCTACGACTTATACGAGGAAAACTATATCGCTGGTCATGTGTAGTTCACTTTTGAGGATCACTATATCCCTCGTGTATTCACGTGACCCATATTCATTGGTGTAAGGAGGGTTGCTCGTCCACAGGGATATCTTTAATTATTAATAACTAAAATACGAAGCCTCAAACGCAATTTTTTTATTCTTGATTTTCGTCTTATTTTGGCCTCTAGAATCACTCCCTAAAATTTCTGCCAGGAGTGTAACGCGAATGTATGAAAATTCAACCAAGTATAAAGTACTTTTTCCTTGAAGAACATTGATAATCATTGAAGTTAATCAAAGTACATCGTGTAAGGATATTTAAATTGTTCAGTTGATCATATTAGTTAGTAAGAGAATAAGATAAAGAAAAAATTGATAATTCATTTACTCCCGCACGCATGCAAGTATATTCACATATAGAAGGGTGTACAAGTGGTAACAACAGTAGTCAGGCACGCACAGTTACAGATCATCGAGTTTAATGGTATGAGTAGTACGCTGCAAAGCGTGGTAATCGATGCTCGGGCACGTTCGCCAGACGCCGTACCTCTCTTCAATATGGCTAGCACTCGCTAAACTAGCCAAACAACAGTCTTCAGGTACGGTATAAATTAAAGCAATTTACATATCAGGCGCATTTTCATATTTCTGGCTCGAAATACGTCGCGATATCGCGGCCAAAATTGAAATTGATTGTACAACACAATCAAGATAGTATGTTCCAACCTTTTCCTTATTTCAAGATTCTAATTATATTTTGTTACACATTCAATGGAAAAATTGTCGACAGTTTCACAACTGCGAAAAAAATTTTTTTTAGGTACCACAATTCCGTTGCAACTTGTAACTACACAGATAAAGTTGTCAATGAATTTGACAATTAGGAAGTTTTGATACACGGGACGCATGTAACGTATAGCATACCTGTATGTAATTCAAGCTACCGGTAGAGTAGTCGATTTCATAAAAAAAAGTACACCGAAGGTTCTTTATTCCCAGTTTAAAACATTCTCTACAAATAGAATGTATGCAATGGAAAAGGAGCATGAAAAAAAAATATATATTTGCACAATGCCTTGGCATTTTTATTTC